GGTTTATCAATATTTTTTAATCCATATGAGTAGGACCTTTTGTCAAAATAAATCTGTCTGAAAATGAATTCGTTTGGATCTGGTTGAATATAAGCTTAACTAATGTAATTTTCTAATAATCTTACAAGCAAGTTCCGGTCCGAGCAATGAATACAGTATTTCCATCACTCAGAACAACCTTTTTTGTCTACATAAATTTCACAGTAACAATTACAAATAAAAAAATAGCATTCCTTATATTCACTTATACGAACAAAGCCTGCAAAAGATAATACAAACATTCAACAGTTTCTCAAATCCCCTGAAGAACTGTCCTCAAAAGCATGTTTATTAATAAAAGTCTTAAGAATATTTACTATAAAAGGCTAGTTTTTACTACTTGGTTTAGAAATCTTTCTTATAAAACCATCAAGGCACAATTTGAACCTATTATTGCTACATGGAATAACACAATATGAAACAATATGAGCCCAATTAATAGCATAAAAATCAGATTCAGCTTAGAACAAATGCAAATCGGTGATTTTCTAACTAAATCGGCCGGCACATGAGAAGCCGGTAAAATTCAAACTGTAAAACCTTACACCATTGACAAAACATAATTCTTGTTTATTGATATTTCTTTTCCTAGTAAACACATTTCCTTAAGTTCTGAGAACAGTCCAAGAGAAGATAACTCTGCTTACTCTTTAGCCTCTTGCCAAGCTTTAGTTTTAAACATTGCTTTAAACGGTAACATATATTTAAATAATAAAACGATCTTTATCTTTTCAAATATAAAACAATATTCAAAATCAATATAGAAAATCAAATCAAAATGCAATGTATAAAATTCTGAATATAGAAAAAAAAATCTTAAAAGTGAATAAAATATTATTTTCCCACGGTGTAACTAGGGAATCTCAAAGTTATGTTTAAACAGAAAATTTACACACCAAAAAATGTTTTTACATAAAAATATTTTTTTAACACTGGATAAACGATAAAATTATGAATACACTGTTTATTTTTTACAATTTAAACGAATAATCCTAACTTTACTAGACAATCTTTCTGAACCAAATATAGATCCTTTATACTGGCCATATACATCATATAAATCTTAAAAGGTTTCTTAAATGTTAATACTCCTAATATGTAAGGCGCAAAAACAGTAGCATCTGCAAATAAGAGCGGGAAAGGGGGCTGGACGGCCAATATGGAGCAACAACAGTACCCATATCTTTACAAAACAGCAAAAACTTCAAAGCTTTCCACAACAAAAAATGAGATGAACCAACAATTATTTTCACCATCCCGATGAACCGATAATGCATCTACTGCTTCTGTATCTTGGGTCCAAAATAATGGGTAAAATGAACGCTACGTACTTAAAACAATGGAATGATAAGAGATTGTGATTGTTTAGAAGGTCTACTTCACGGCAATAGAAGGCTCAAGAATTAGCTACCGGAAAGAAATTGATAGCAAAGGCATAAAATTGTCGCATTTTGGTTTGGCAATTAGTTTTCTATGTAAAAAATAAGTCTTAGAAGTTTAGTTAAAGCCTCCATATTCTACAGGCAATTGTCTTAACACATTTTGCCTGATTCCGTTGAAAATTCGTTTTTGTACAACATCGGAGGGTCCACTTAGTACAAAATTAGTAACAAAGGTCTAAACCAAATACCATGACTTTGAGATCTCCGCATGGTCTGCACATTTTTTGTGGCTGGCGTTTTGTTCTTTCTTTGCACAAAATGAGAACGAAAGGCCTGAGTTAAACAATATGTCCGTGAAAATTCCGCATGGCATTGTCATTTTTAGACCGGCGGTTTGTTCTTTCTATATATGAATTTTCGTAAAAAAAAAACACCATATCCTAGAGCCTATCATTCAAACGCCATTAGTCCGATCCCGTGCAAATTCGTTTTTATGAGAGTTTTTTTTGTACAAAATGAGTACAAAAGCCCAGATCGAAATAATATCTCCTGGAGATTTCCGCGTGGCATGGCAATTTATGTGAACGACAATTTGTTCTTTGTCTATGTAAAATGTATTAAAATCACCATAATCTAGAGCCTGAGGTTAAAACAACATTAGTCTGATTCCGTTGCAAATTCATGTTGGTACAACTTTAGAGGGTCCTCTATGCACAATATGAGTATAAAAGCCCTAGCACTAAAACTTTGTCCGGGAGATTTCCGCGTGGCATGAGCATTTTTGTGTCGGCGATTTGCATTTTTCGATATAATTGTGGATTAAATAAACAACTGTAAAGACAAAACCCGCTTGAAACTGTATTTTACATTATTGTGATCAATCACAACTTTATAACAATGTTACTTAGCGGTTTGTGTCAAATACACGCTGTAGAGCAGGTTCATACCAGAATGGACGTCTAGCATAGTTAGCCATAATAAATGATTGTAAAATGAATGCTACGTACTTAAAAAAATGGAACAATAAGAGATAGTTTAGAAGGTCTTAATCACAGCAAAAGAAGACTCAAGTATAAGCTACCGCCAGAAAATTAATAGCAAAAGGCCCGCATATAATTGTCATTTTTTTGGACTGGCAATTAATTCTCTATGCAAAAAGTCTAAGAAATTAAGTTAAGCGTCCATATTCTACAGCTAATCGTTTTAACAGAATTTGTCTGATTACCGAAAGATTTGTAAAGTCAAAATTCCTGAAACTGTATTGTACATTTTTTTGATCAATCACAACTTTATAAGAATGTTACCTAGCGGTTTGTGTCAAAAACGCGCTTTAGAGCAGGTTCATACAGGAATGGACGTCTAGTATAGTTAGCCATTGTAAAATGAACGCTTCATACTTAAAAAGACTGGAATGATAAAGCGATTGTGATGGTTTGGAAGGTCTACTTCACAGCAATAGAATGTTCAAAAATTATTTACCTCAAGATACTTGATAGCAAGAGGCTCACATGAAAATTTCGTTTTTTGGACTGGCAATTAGTTTTCTATGTAAAAAACGTCTAAAAATTTTAGAAAAAGCCTCGATATTCTACAGCCAATCGTTTAATCTAATATGTCTGATTCCGTTGCAAATTCGTTTTTGTACAACCTCGGAGGATTTTCTTTGTACAAAATTATTATCAAAGCTGTAAACCAAATACTATGACTGTGAGATTTCCGCATAGTATGCTCATTTTTTTGGCTGGCGTTTTGTTCTTCCTCTATATAAAATGCATACTTTTTCTTAAAATACACCATATTCTATAGTCAACCGTTAAAACATGTTTTGTGTAATTCCAATGACGATTCGTATTTGTACAACTTTGGAGGTTCTTCTTTGCACAAACTGAGAACCAAAGACCTGTCATGAACAAAATGTCCGTTAGATTTCCGCATGGCATGGTCATTTTTGGACCGGCGGTTTGTTCATATCATGACTTTTGTATATTTGTCTTGTGCTTTGGGATCATTGATGCCAGCACTATGAAGTGTTGAGAATTGCCGCTCAATTTCCCCGTACTTCACTTCAGTGTTGTTATATTTTCTGGTCCTTCGGGATCATTGATGCCAACACTATAAAGTGTTGAGACTGCAATTCTTATGTTATTTTGTTTTGATTAATGCTTCCGAGGGATCACTTTGTTTCCAGAATCTTGACCTAAATGCTTCGGACCTAGATAATGTGCATGCCATATTACTCAAACGTGTTTCATATGTATACACAATTATTTTAATATCCTTAAAAAAGTGACACCGTACAGACAGACGAACAGTGGAACGGGTAAAAGGATGAATGGATGAAAGGGCAGAAATATAAACCTTTAATTTTGTGGGGCATAAACGTGACATTGATCACAATAACATTTTACTGTATAAGGGAATCAACATTGTCGTTCTAGTCAAGAGTCCACGTTCTAGCACAGTGAGTACGGAATGTTCTTCAATGCAACTGCTTATTTAGTACATTTATTATACTTTTTATTTACATTTATTTTGATATCACTGTCATTATAATGATTTGATCATTATTTTTATTATTTTTATAGTTATCATCAACATATTTTTCGTCATTATTTTTATCATTATTTTTTATTATTATTATCGTCATTCTTACAATATTACAATTATAAAGCAATGCCTGATATTCCAAGAAACAGATGTCTGTATATCCTAAGTTAACAGTGACATTTAATAGAAGTAAAAACGTGAACCAATCAACCGACATTTAATGACGGACATTTAGCAAAACTCAGTTTCAGAATATGTTGTCTGGCGTGTATTTGTGTTAGTCAATCTCAAACCAGTGGATATAAAAATTAAGGTGACCAAACAAACACAAAGCACAATTTTCAATTCAAATATTGTAAATAATTTTTTTTTTATTGAATATATAATTTTTTATCAAATTGTTTTGTGTTATAAGAGAAATGTGTCTTTATTACATTTATAATAAAGCTAACCGGGAAATTTTTTCAACAACGGCTATTTTCCTTCAAAACATCTTTTGAAATTTTTAATGAATTTTTAATTTTTTTAAAAATTGAAAAATGCATGTTTACACCGATTGGCATTTTTTCCTTTGGGGCCCTGGTAACATATAGTCTTTTAGTTTAAAGTTTTTGCGAACATGTTTTGTACCCCCCAACCACCATTTTTATTGCCCAGCACAATTGTGCCTTTATTTTTACCCCTATAAAACATCGTAGGGGGTAAAAATGTTTGACCTTTTGCTGATGACAATCCAGATGTATCCCTGTTTTAAAAAAAGAAAAAAATTTAATAAAAATTTTTAAAAAACACTTTGGTGCTTTTGTTTTCTTTTGACCAATTTGTACTTTTCTAAACATTGTTAAAAAAATTTTTAAATTGTTTGGAAACTTATAAAAACTATATTTATAAAAAATTACTTAAATATTTTCCCCTATATAAATATTATTCCCCATTATAATATTCATTTTTCCCAATTTAAAAGCAGTGACTTTTTTCCCGCGAAGGTTATGATGTATTAATGTACAGTTTTACTTTAGTTTTATAATTAAGTTATTTATCACCTGCGGTTCCGACCCCCTTGTCAATATGTAGAGTATAATAAGGACTATCACTAAGGTGAAAGTTCTGGAATGTTTCGTATACATGTTCTCCACCAGCCGCTGTGAGATCAAGTCTTAACTCTGTTTGTCCTTGAGAGACAATTTCGTAGATATTCCTAAGACCTGCGTAAAAATAAATTAAACATTTTGCATTATAAAAACTTTCGCTGATACACACATACATATATTTGTCTATCTCTGACTGAAAAGTCCGGCAAAACAAATAAGAAGTACATTTCGTGATTCTATTTTAGTTAAGAGGTAAAGAGCATGCATCGTGCCTCTAAATGTTGATAAACGTATACTAAGTACTTAATCTTTAACCAAACCTTTTTCTTAAATTGGAATGTTTTTAATGTTCAAAATTCCTTTTTCTTTTTTAAAAATCAAACTTTCACCTTACCGGGTGAAACAATTTTCTTTTTTAGGGTTTTACAAAACCCTTTCACGGACACAATTTTAAAACCCTAAATCGGCGGTTAGTAAAAAAACCCCCTTAAAACCCTAAATTTTATTCTAAACGGCTTTCATTTCAACATTTCTTGTAAGTTTTAAAATTTTTTCGGAACAACACGACTTTAAAACTTCATAAAAATTTTAAATTATTGTTTTTTTGTTCCAATTTCAAATTTCCAGGGAAAAAACCCTTTAAAATCAAAAGCTGTGAAAAACTTTTAGGGGGTTGGAAAGGGGGGGGAAAATTATTTAAAGAAAACTTTAAAATTTGTTATGGCGGGGAACGCTATAAAATTTCAAATTTTGACAGTAAAACGCAATACATTTTAATTTTGGGAAAATTTTAAAAAAATTAATAAAAATTTAAAAGGGTTTAAAAAGGGAATCATTTCAATTTTTTCCAAAAAAATCTTTTTAAAAAAATTTTGGGGAGAATTTTGAAAATTTAACATTTATCTTTCCCAACATTTTTGGCCCCAAATATGATTTTCCATAAAAAAATTGAGTCTTTTCTTCGCCGGTTAATTTTTTTGGGTCATTTCTGTATTTTAAAAACCACTTTTTTTAAAACTTTTCTGCATGTTGCTCATCAATTTTTATATAATTTGACTAAAAAAAATAAATAATTCCCAAATAAAAGCAAGGTTTATGGGCATTTGATTAAACCATTGCTTATAGACTTTTGTTATTTTCGAAAATTTTTGATTACCCCCGCTGACGGGTACTCTGGTCATTTTAAAATGTATCAAAATTATTTTTCCTTTTTAAAATTTAATGTTTTTAAGCACATCAGGGTTTTTAAAACAAATTTTTTCTCGATTTTAGGCAAAAAATTTTTAGAAGATTTTAAATTTTTCTTTAGTTCTTTCTTTCACATATGAAAAAATTTATAAAATCAATTCTCGTTTTTTTTCTTCAATTTGTTTTTGAGGGAAAAAAAGCTATGTAATGTCCCATGTTTTAATAAGAAACGTTAGGGTAAAAAAACTAAGAAAGCTTTTGGTTTATATATTTATTATTTTTTGTTTTTCAAAAAATTTGATTTTTTACAGTTTCCCAAAATTTACAAAAACGAGTATTTTGCTATATTAATATAAAATTTTTTGAAATCTTTAGTTTTTGTTTTGGAAATTAAATTTTTTAAAATAAATTAGAAATTTTTTTTAAAAACCCCCAAATTTTCCCTCCCGTTTTTTTTAAAATTTCCCTTCCCTTTTTTTGAAAACTTAATTTTCTGTTAACGTTTTTTAAATTTGAAACACTAAAAATTAAAATTTAAACCCCCAAAATGATTTTTGACTTTAAAAAAATTAAATTTTTTTTTTTAAAGCCCTTTACAAAAAAAGATTTAAAAATTTGCATAATTTTTGCCTATAATAAAACGCCAAAAGGGACGGGAAAAGGGTTTTATTGGAAATAGCCCAATGAAAATTTTCTCTCAAATTATTTTTTTTCAGAAAAAAAATTTTAAAACAAACTTAAGTTCCCTACTCAATAAAAAAGTAATATTAACTTTGAAAAATTCAAAAAAAGGGTTTATCTCAATTTTGGAAAAACCCTTTTACCTTTTAACCCAAAAATTTCCTTTCCAAAGGAACCAAAAAACCAAAATTTTGTTTTAAATAAAGTTTCTTTTTAAAAGTCAAAAATTTCCCAATTTTAAATTTCGATTAAAAAAACCTTTTTTAAAGGAGATTAGTTTTTAATTTTATTTTAATTATTCACAGGGGCTTTTTTTTAAAAATTTCCTATTTTCCCAATATTTATTTTAATTATACATTTTAGAATAAAATGAAATCTTTTTGTTTTAAAAAGGGAAAATTTTTTCTTTAAATTCCCAATTTGGAAATAAAGAACTTTCTGAAAAAAAAGGAAAACAAAAACGGGGTATTTTTTCCACCAGTGCAGTAAAAGGTCATATACAAAATTTTTTCCCAAAGCTTTTTTGGGTAGGGGAAAGTTTTTTCTTATTCGGCACGAGGGGAAACCACCTAAGAAAACTACCGCCCTTTTCCCCCGGGGCTAGCTAAATAGTTCCTTTTAAAGGGGAAACCCAAAAAGGGTCCCAAGCACGATTGAAACCTACAGCGTTAAGGAACAAGTGATTTGAAGTCACAGTCTGTGACTGTGCAGTCTGTTGGTTCTATAAGTATTCAAACAACTTTTATCATTTAAGTTTACAAATTGCTACACGCCTCTTCTTCTTGAATGAAAACGGTAAAACATGCTTGACATAATTAAGAGTTAAAGGAAACAATATTATTAGAAATAGAATGAGAAATTCGGCAATATAGCGCGCTTTTTTTATCAAACTTTAACATATGTATTTACATAGCATGTTGTACAATACTATTGAAGTGATCTGCAATCATATATATGTTATTTACTTTAATAAGTATCTATTTTAGTGGTATGACTTGTTACACCTTATTTAGTCCAATTTTTTGTTGCAGTACCTTGACATCCATCGCTAATTAATGACTTCCATACATTTTTTGATTTAAGAGCGTCATTTGAACTTATATCAACTATACTTTAAAGCATAACACGGATAATGATATAAAAAAGGATGACACTCACCAAAACAAATATCATTAAAACAAAGTTTAACGTCAAAATTTTTGCCCATGCAATTTTTCTCCAGCTTTTGCAGGTTTTTTGGATTTTACACAAACCAACACGGTTTTTGAAGCCCACGCCGCATTTTAAACCGAGCATTTCCCCCTTTGCCCCAACCCACTCCACCGCTATTAATTTTAAAATTTACGGATTTTTAAAACACAAGCAATTTTCCCCCCATTCCCCCCAAATTTAATTTTACTTACATAATTTAAAAATATTTTACACAAAATTGCAAAAACTTAAATTCTCTTTCATTTTGGGGAATTTATGTTTTTTCGTTTGAGGGAAATTTTTTTAAGATTTTCCTTTTCACCCGGAACATTGTCCAAAATGGATAAAACAGGTGGGGTTAGATATTATACAAAAGTAAGAAAAACGATTAAATCGGTTATACTTAAATATCACACACACAACATTTATATTTCTTAAAACATTCTCGTACATCATATCGGCGTTACTATATTTGTCTGTTCTTTCTAGACCATTAACTGTTGATGGTTTAATACGGTTTAACCAGGCACTGGGGGCATAATATATAATTAGTCCATATTTACAGGGGAATATAATTAATTGCGAATGAACGCTCAAATATGTAGGAAAATGTTAAATTTATGATTTTGTTTATCAATGCGGTAAGAACGAACACTATCTCGAATGAAATATTGAATTCCAAATAGATATATCATGATATGCAATAAAATGAAAGAAATTATTAAAAATAACATTATTTTTACTGAGAAACTTATTATAATCAATCAATGAACATTAAATGTTTTACTTGCACAAGATCCAGTGTTACAAAGTGTATATTCGATTCTGTTTCCAAAACAGTGATCTCCGAAACGGTCTGGACTTGGATTGGTACAAGACCGTTTTCGACTCTGCATTCCTATACCGCATGTTGCCGAACATTCTCCCCAGACATCCCATGAACTCCAGCCACCATGCACTATTAAATTGTTCAGAGTATATCAGAACTGTACTCATATTTTAGATTTATCATTTTCGTTTTACGATTTTTCTAGACCACTCGTTGTGAAATCACATTTGATATTAATAATTATAATAATAATAATAATAATAATAATAATAAATAATAATAATAATACATGTAATTATAATAAAAATAGTATTCAAAATAATAAGAAAAATAATAAATCTTTTTTTTTCTTTCTTTCTTTCTTTTTTTTTTTGTTGTTGATAGAATTATGTATAGGACATACTTTTAAAATTTGGGATAAAAATTGGGAATTAAAGGTATTTTACTTTTTTGTGCCATATATTTTAACTTTTACCTGGAAAAATTTGAGTTGACATGCTTTTTTAAATTTCCCGGTTCCTTTCCCCCCGGGACAATCAATCCCTTTCCCGTTTTGTGGTTGCGGGTTTTGTACAAGTCGATGTTCGTAAAAAAAAGGGTTTGATCCAAAAGGGGACTCACATATGTCCATGTTTGCCCATGGACCCCAAATTTTCCCCACTGCGTTTTAAAACGTGTCTCTTATCAAAACATAAATGAAATTTTTTTCAAAACTTTAAAATATTTCAAAAAATTTTAAAAATCCCCTTTCATTTGGGGCAAGCTTTGGCCCTTTTTTTTAACGGGTTTTTCCCAAGGTTATTTTTTTTTTTTTGAAAACAAAAATAAAACTTTTTTTATTTATAAAATATGAAATTAGTCGGGTACTTAATAAATCATTCAATGAAAAAAAGAATGGGGACTTTACCAAAATTTAATTAAAGTTAAAAATAAGTTAAACCGGGGTTTTTAAACGTTTGCATACTTTTTTTTCAATGAATATAGTTGTCACAAGTGACGTAAAACCTAAAATGAATGAACAAAATTAATCAACCCTATATTGAAAACACTGTCTTCCTTTTTTTTTTTTTTTTTTTTTTTTTTTTTTTTTTTTTTGCTTTTTGTTTTTTAGGGTTGGTTAAAATTAATAGATAATAAAGACATTTTTGAAACTTTTGCTTTAGTACGATGTAATATTTAAAGCTGCTACTTCAATGATATAGGTAAAGTTAACATACCGAGATCACAGAGATTGCAATATTGTGGACATATTTTCTTTGCTTGACTAGTAACCTCACAAATATCAAACATCGAGTTCAATTTAGCACAATCCACCGACTTATCTTTCTTGACAAAGGGGGGCAAAACAATTAAATTTAATCTATTAAAATTTTGATGCACAATAACTGCATACATAAAGTAAAAATTTTAAATTTTTGTTTAAAAATACCTTTTATAGTGTAATGAAGTTAAACTTTGTTTGGGAAAAAAAAACAAAAAAATAAAAACCAAATTGAAACACAAATAAGCACTTTTTTTTAAATCTTTTTTCCCCAAATATATATTTTTATTTTGGGCCAGCAAATCCCATCTTTAATCATTTACACTAAAAAAAACTTTATTTTTTTTTTTAATTTTAAATTTTTATTTTACAACGATATATTTTACTTTTTTTCCCAAAAGCTTTTTCATTTTAAATTAAATTTGGGTTTGGGCATGGGGTAGCTTATTAAGAATAATATTTATACTTTTAAAGATTTTAAATATTTATGCAGTTGTCGGGAAATTTTTGCTGAAATTGTTATATCTAAGATAACGTTTCAAACTATAAACTAATAAAGAAGGACGCTTACGAGGAGGATAAGTACATAGATTGTCGTTACATTTATCCTTCGAGCAACATTCGTAACAAAAATTCGACTTATCAACGCTCATTTTTGCAATTTCGGAGCCATTTTTACGCGTTGCAGATCTGCCACAACTCTGGAAAAAATGAATTAAATGCAATTATCAAACAATATAGCGATTGAAATGTTTTTAAAGATCAAATCAAAGTAAAACAGATAGATGATTACAAGTTATATATGTTGAACATTCAATAAGATAATAGAAACCATATTGTGTTCAAAAGCCCATATAATACTTCTTTACGAAAACGACATACGTTTTCATTTCCAGTCTTTTATTTTCGGAATATGTTGGCACTGGAATGTTGATAAGGTGATAATACGTTAAAGATGATATCTTATAATTGTATGAAAGTGGATATTTTCTATGAATATCACAATAAAATCTCTTATTTACCTCTTTGTCAATGCATCCCATGTCATACTGAACCTGGCTTTTATATTCTCGTTTTTTGAAACAAACCTTTGAATAGATAATCGAATTTAAAGGAATACAAGATTTCGATGAAAAAAATAGAAGTTGGCAAAACATATTACATAATATATCAAATTATTTCAGAAATCGTCAATATTTTAGCTAAAAAGGAACTATTTTTGAACATATTGTAATCTTTGAATTAATTATTTTATTAATTAATTAAATAGTTTATTTGTTGCTTTTGTTATTTATTTATTTATTTATTTATTTATTTATTTATTTTTATTTATTTATTTATTGTCGGTATGTGCATCCCTTATTTCGATCAAACACTTCGATCAAGCTAATCAACATTGGCCGTATTACTTGGTTGCACATAGAAGGACGTATAAACATAACAATAAACACATATTCATTACTTCTGCACAATTTCTTGTAATAGAATAATGGAACTGTGGTATCTTACCTGACCTTCCTCGCATTTTTCCACTGATTTACATTCGCGTGTATTTACAGCGTCAGTACAACTGAAACACTCCAAGGATTCTATAACAAAAAATAAAAAAATAAAATTCCGTTTTAAATCATTTGTTTAATAATAATTATAAAATGCTTTTAAAATGAAAAAAAAATGTTATTGATTATGTCACTCGTAGACATTAAGAAGCTGGCTTTGACTCAGTATTGTTCAAATTAAATTTCAAAGAAAAAAACATTTTTTTTTGTTTTTATGGAATGCATTTGAATAACTATATAGACACAATTGCAATAAAACTGAATATTATTTGTTCTTTAAAAGGAACATTTGAACATAATATAGTTATGTCCCAAAGTTACATATTAAACCTTTTATTGTAATATCTTTTAACAAAGTTAGGTTTCAAACTGCATAGGGATTTAAGAAGAGACTGTGCATGTAGTTGTTAAAAGTTTCCTATTCACGCATTGTTATAATATTTAAAATGCACCCAATGCAAAGAATAAGATGTTACATACGTGACCAACTGATTGCCGATACAGCGAATATGAATACCCAACCTGAATAAACAAACGAGGGTGTAACTTTTGTCTCAAGATGATACTTTAGAGATAAATAATCATGTCAAATCTAAAAGTTGAAGAAAAAAACATTTTTTTTTATCTTTTAAACTTAAAGTTAACCATTCTTCGTGTTTGTTGTATTGGTCGAGATAAAATATTTTCAACAATGTAAATCTTTTGAATGCAACAAAGCTGATTTAAGTTTGTCAGGCGATTTGGATGTGGGGCGACTGTTAAGATAATTCTTTTGTTTACACATGATGATACAATCATTTTTACATCATGTTATTTTACAAATAAATAAATAAATACTTACAAATGAAATTGACTTACCTATTATAAATGAAATAGGCTTCATTTTGTCAGTTTGTAAAGTTGTTTTTTTTTATTCGTTTCTAGCAGACATGTACAGTCTATATATGAATAAATATTACGACATAGGTTTACCTGAAATCAAATCATTGACAAAGATCATATAAAGACATATGCTTATATGTACAATTAGAATGTTAAATAGATATAAATATATCAAAATAAATCTAAATTTTCTGATACAGAACAGAACTGTCTATGTATGAATAGATATTACGAAACAGAGTTTCCACAAATCAAATTATTGCCAAAGATCAAATAAATACATGTACTCAAAAGTACAATTAAGATATCGAACGAATGTAAAAATATCGAAATAAATCTTTTATAATATTACGTTGCTTAAAACATTATCTGCTTCTTAATCTTTTTATCAATCAAAATGGAAAACTTCAAAAATGGCAAATACTACTTGCTTGCGTAAAGCGGACAGTACAGAAAAATACTAAATTATAAAAAAAGAATCGGGAATTTTGATCTCACATCATTATTAAAATTTACATTTTTGTGCATTTCTTCTGATCTATGTAAGCTATTTATGAATATTTTGTTTCATGTATTTTTTAATTATTTGCCATTAAATATGAAGACCATATGTTAGGAAATAAGGCGAAGTATCTAAAACAAAACTTTAAAATTTAATTTACTTTCAATCATTTAAATAACATTCAGATAACTTTAATTATTATAGAGATGTGTCTAGAGACATTAAGCTACATTATTACATTTGAATCGAAAAAAAAATGTAAAAACAATCTTGAGAAAGATTGGTCCATCGAAAGCTAAAGCTACATTAACTATTTTATAACGTTTATACTTATAAAACGGTCACGTAAAGTAACATTTACGGCATTCGGAACTTTAATGTACACAATGAAGTGTGAATATATAAAATTACCGAATAAAAGATGGTTTAACGGTCTACATAAAACATTTTGAATATACAACATAATCATTGCTATCTTTTTAAATATATAACAAACGTCATATCAAGATAGAGGTAAATAAATAACTAAATTTTAAAAACTTACAATATATAGTCCTACTCTCTAAACGCTCATCACAAACTATCAAATTAGGCGGAAGAAGGAAAATATAAATACTGGTGAAAAGCTATTGTTATTATGTTAACAAATGAATGACATTGTTAAAAATAGTTTGAAAAAAAGTAAACTTTCTATTATCTCATAAAGTATAGGTTCCTTACTTCCTTAACTATCAATCTTAGCAATGAAGGTTCAATGATAACAGCCGTATTTACACGTAATATATTATGCAAATGTATCTAAAGTCACGTTATTCATCATTTTCAGGGTTTATTTATAAGCTGAAGTCGGTGATACGGGTCATTAACGGTAGCTTTCATTACCTATATTGTAACTGAACAGTCCTTATTAAAATGAGCCTTTTAAATTTCAATTTTGCCATTTGATCACTCCATGTATGATCATTTATATTAAGATATAATAACTAAAACACGAAATTAATGAATGCATGCACTTTATACGTATTCTTTTTTACAATAATGTTTTTCCTTACTTTATTGAATTTTATAGTTGGAATGAGTATCTACTACCACCTAAACCTAAACTTACTTTGCGACATCTAAGAAAGGATATAGTATCGTTTCACCTCAAATATATTTAAGTTCCAGCTAACAAGGCGGTAAATAACATAATTACTGTAAGACTCATTCATTATATAATGTATTTTATGTGTAAGTAAAACATATACAACGTGGACCTGTTACAAAGTTTCTTTAGAACTCTAGACTTTGTTAGATAAGGTCTATATCAAATATGCATTACAAAGAAAACTAATCGCAATATCAATAATTGCTGGTTTATTTGTAATTTGCTACTAGAGGGACTTCTTGCTATCTAGATGATATTTTGAATATCTTTTGTGTCTTTTATCAAATAGTTACAGTACTAAAGTATATGTGAAATTGTATTGAACAAAATAAGCCCTTCAGACACCATTTACATCTTCATTATCATTATTACATGTAATTACTATAATAGTAACTAAAATCGATGGTTAATCGCGAGGATCCTTTAAACTGTGATAATTTTCTTAAATGTAATGCGGTTTTTAATATGACGTGGTTAATTTCTTTAATGTGATATCTTCCTTTAAATGATTTTAATTTGACATTTTTAAATTTTTGAATGAATATTCCTTCATTAATGTGGTTTTTTTTTTCTTAAAGTAAATACCTTCTCTTTCATGGCAAACCAAATGGGGCTAAGGGAACCACAATGGAATAAAGAGCTGGGCTCCTTTTTGTTGGTTATCCCTTGGTTTTTAAAGAACATGTCATGGTTTTAACATAATTTTAAAATTCAATTTATTTAAAAACTGAGCTTACATTTTCCCTCGTTTGATTGTTAATCTGATAGGGGACCCAAAGTGGAAAGACTCTATGGCCGTTTTTAAAGCTTTTTGATCTGAATTGTTACGTCATGTTTGTATTTTCGTTTTCTGTCTGACTCTTTTTAGCCCAAGTAATTGTGTTTATATGCCTCAAGATATTGAGTTCTTTTGTCTATCTATCAATCAATTTTGTTTTACTTTGTATTCATTATTCACAATGGAAAAAAAAACAATTCAAGTTTTTAAGATTTCGTTCGAATGCAATCATTCGAAACTGTTTGAAATTTAATGAAAACCATAAAATCCAGCAAAGAATCGTGGCATTCAATGAATGTATCCCTTAACAATATTCAGCTACAAATGACAACCGTTAAAGAAACCAGAACGACACCAAACAGAAGCAGGAACAACCAAAAATTTAGAATTTCACTCGGCGAGGATTAAATTTTTTTTTAAATAGGGGGTTTTTGGGGAAACTTTTTTGTAACGGGGTTGGGATTTAAATTTAAAAGGGTTTTTGAGCCCCCTAGCAACGGTAAAAATTTCGGTTAAACATTTTAATTATTGAATAATTTGTTTGATAATATTGGTGATGCATTTAAGTATATGTCTCATGTATGCCCCAATTGGCAACATAATTTTATCATACAATATGCCAAAAAGGTTCAGAAAATAAGCACTGCCGAGAGAATGAACCTTCCGCAAAACAGCGGTCTATCATAACACAAAGCCACGGACTAAATGCCACTGTCTGTTTAATATCTGTTAAGCACCGTAGTAACATTCTCTTTAAGAAAAAATGAAAGATATACGCATATGTCAAAATTTAATTTTTTTATGATAAAAAAAATAAACTGGGGTTTAATGATATCCCCCCGGCCCAAAAGAAAAAAAATAATTGATTGAAACTTTATAGTTTTTTACTTTCCTTTAGAAAGTGAAATGAAGTAAAAACTTGGTATCTTTACTTGTTATGTTATGACACAAAGCCCCACTTATTTAGCAGTTTCAAACACATTGTTTCCATTATTGAAACCGTAAAATGTCTCTGGTCATAGATAGTAAATTACAATACGCATTAAGAATTGTGTACATTTTTCGTTAAATGAATCGAATTAAATTTGTGATGAAGATTAACAATGTATTTATACGAATGCTGTGAGACATAAATTGAATAAAACTGTAAAATCTCAGAAAAAAATTATGACAACACTATTAAGATACCCAGTCACGAGAGAAGCATATATAATTAAATGTATTCATACATATTGAAAAAAATACTTCTGAAGGATCATTGGATTATTCATAGGCATATTATGCATCAGAAACAAGTGAATCTTTACATCATTGGACTTGAGTTTATATATTTGTAAGTTTATAATATTGTTTTGAAGCATGCTGGATTCTGGTAACTTTTAAAAAGTTGTGCTTAATTTGAAATTACTTTAAATAAAAGTAGCATAATGTTAACAAAGTTGTAATTTGACTTCCATACAAAATACTGTTTCACGATACATGTGTTAATTGCTGGTATGCAACATAAGATAAAATATGGCTCCGGTTATTGGCCAATGAGTAAGTCTTTGAAAACCTTAATTGTTCCAAAAATTGAAAAAAAAGCTGGGGAATAATGGGCCTTAAAGGAAGGTAACAGAAATTAGGCTTACAAGTATAATTGTCATAGTAAGAGTCAGCCAAACAGTATAATTTAATTTTAATTGCTATTTTTTACCTTGATATTGTAGTATCAGGCCATATTAGACTAAGTACTGGTTATATTTTGTTTGTTGCAATTTTTAGATTTGAAACTCGTACCAACTCAAACCCTATATCGGGCTCTTTGCAAAAGTCTTATGTAATGATGAGCAAAAATCTAATCAATCTTGTAAATGGTAATTTCTTACTGATGTTTTTGGTATGTTCTATTTTGCTTGTTACCAAATTAAAATTCATTGCTACAATTACTCAAAGACGAGCTAGAATAGGAGACAGACCTAGCTCCTACCATCGAATAGAAACGATAACGGACGTCACTACATTATGCTATCGCATAGACCCAACATCGGACTCTATACTAGACCTTACACAAAATTGCCAAAATCGGATTACCGGACCATACTTGGCTCTGGCAAATTCTCAAAAACGTTTCTTTCTCATTTCTTTAAAATTCATTTTTCTTACAACTATCCTTTCAAATTTATCAATTATGCATAAGTGTCAGAAAAATCTTATTCTGAATAATAGCATAATTCAGACAAATCATTTATCTTAATATTACAAAAGCAAAACAAAAACCGTCTCGGCATAACGGCCCGACTTTTTTAAGCAGAAACATCCATCGATGTCGCCCCAGTTAGTGTTATATCCTCATAACTAACTCATTTTATATACCATGAATATTACATATTTTTTGCTTAAATTAAACGCAATAATTCAAACTTGAGAATTAAACATATACGCAATATCATGTTATAAGTCAAGAGCTTGTGCACGTTTATATATTTGCTATGTACGAAAATCGCTTGACCAGTCTCGTCGCAATTGATGCATTAATATGTATGAAAATAGGTATGCATAAAGATTCAGAAAAAGAAAGGAATAATGTAGAGCAAAATCGTGTTTATTCATGGTGAAGATGTCAAAAAACAAATTATGTCTGCACGCTATTGCCTCTTTGTTATGATATATCAGTATGTAGAATCAGTATTCAGTATTTGTAAAGCTTAATTATTTCAAGAGTGTGCTAAATGTTTTGAAACAATTCATTTTTCAAAATCTAAATACTTTATTCTAATGCTATTCATAACTTTTCTTTCTTTTGAAAGTTTGTGTCTATTTTTTAAACAAACGATATGGTAGAAGGTTATATTTCATTGTGTTCTTAAAACAATTTGCTTTTTAAAACTTCCTCTATAAAATTAAGATGACTTATTTTGACATACTTTAAAGAAACATTTTTGTCATACCGCCATTCAAAAGAGTTGTATACATCAATTGTTTTCAAACAATAAATTTAATCTTATTTTAAATCGTTCGGTTGCAATAACTAGTATTACTTCGTCAAACATATTTCAACAACTTTCTATGTCAAAATGGGAAAATAAATGTTGATCATTAATCATATAAACGATGACAATTTTAATTAATCAGGTCTTAATTGTATTAGACTTATTTTTGAAATTATTATTATAGTATTTTGTTGAAACTAAAAGAAGTATAACACTTTATTATTTTTTTTTTAATTTTACATCGTTTACATCGATTTACAAGGAAGTCAAACTACCATCGAATAGAGTCTTTTCGTCCAGGGCAAAATAATTAGGGAGGACACTTATCAGTTCTATATGTGGTCAGATTCAAATATCGAGAGTTAAAGGAACTTTAAAAAACTATTATTATTACAGCGTCATTTCTTCATGTTTAAATTTTAAATATTTATTCTGCTTAAGCTTGTGCTAGGGGCCAGGGACCGTAACTTACACTTTACAGTACCGTCAATGAACATGCTCAATCAAAACGAGCCTTCATTGTTGTCAATTCTAGCGTTCTAGGCGGTGGTCTATAAGGAATAGTTTTCCGTTAACATTTCTGTACCATAAAGTAAAAATGAAAAACAAAAAATAGGACATGTAGGAGGAAGAAGGAAATAAACCACTAAAGTATGTATATACACTCGTATACAAATCAACAATATGGCACATATATAGACCATAAAGTTTGTGGTTTACATTCATGTTTCACGCGTCATATAGAATGAAGATTATAGGGATGTTTTAGTTCGTAAATGTATCACAATAACAAGAAAAATCAGAGCCTTTATTTGTTGTAAAATATATCTCATTTTATTTATTTATTTATTTATTCATTTAATTATTTATTGATCTTTCTCTTTGGTATTTCATTAATGTTGGTGTCATAGTCATAAGTCATTTCAGTACATTCAAGGAACAAAAACTATAAGTATAGATATTTTTTATACATTCGAAATCATGTGAAAGTTGGCAGGATAACATTCTTAGGATCAATGCAGAAATGAATTGTTTTATTTTGCATCTTTTCATTCAATTTGCATTTCATTAGCAAAATCCAAAATTATACCTTTATATTTTGTTTCACATTTGATATCCTGTAGCTTATTAGTGCATTATTAATGAGGTAATTTGTATTTAATTATTTATTTTATTTATTATTTTGGTTTGTGTTCATATTACTTGAATTGCTTGCATTTAAACAACTTATTAACAACGTTAAATCTGCGTAGAACAGAACCACCGTGTATATCCAGTAACGCAGGAATATGCAATTATCGTAAAAGTAACGCCGAATCTGTGCAACGCTATTGCCAAAACGAATAACACAGTAAGTAAACAATCCAAACTATCTTATTTTAAGTTTAATTAAAAGAAATGAATAAGCGCATACGGCTGCTATGAAATTATTGAACCAGCATTACTTTTTTCAGAAATATGTTTACTTTTTTAGATCATTCATGAGAAATGAAACCTGATTACTATTTTGAATGTGAATTTAAATAAATATGTACATTTAACACATTTAAAACTTCATTTTTTTTTCATATTATGTGTATCTTAAACATTTTTCAAGCTACAAGTGTCATATAACAATAGGAGGAATCTAGTAAAATATGATTTAGTTAGTTTTAATGATGTAATCGCCGTTGCTTCGGTGCTCCATTCACGAATTCGGCGTATCCTCGTAAAAACGGTCTCAATTACGTTCAATCTGTTAAATTAAGTGTAATCTGACACGAGTAGATTGGAAAATGTCCCCCGAATATGAAAAAATATAACGTAATATGTACGTTATTGTATTTAAAGATATTAAGGACGCTAAAAATCGCCATCAATACGCTAAAGAGGTCGTCATTATCACGAATGATCTTGAAAAATAAACATTTTCATGGAAATATTTTTGATGAGGTTTAAAGTATAATGCCTTAGCAACCGTATGAGCTAACTCATTTCTTCAAATTTGGTATACAATAAAAATATTGGTCCATTAACTTATCGTGGTGCTCGTTTTAGCCAATAAATTGTACTAGTCGGGTTTCTTCATTTTTAATGTTTGCAGATTGTCAGTGATGTTCTTTTATCAAATAAATGATATTCAATCTGAAAAAAGACGAACCCTACTAAAAACAGTCATATCATTTTTATATAATTAAACCATGTAAAATAGACATTTTAAATACGATGTTTACGATTAAGACATAAACTTAACGATTTTAATAAAACAAAAGCTTTTATAAGGTCATTAAGGAAGATAAAGTTTCAATTGTTTATTTCTACACCGCCTCGACTCCTATAAAAGGGCATTGTTTCTAAATATAAACGTCAAATGAGGTAAAGTTATTTATCAGTTGACAACGAATCTAAGAGTCTAATCCTTGTTTTTTACAAGTTTCTTCTTGGACTGTCCGAATTTGAACGACGGTAAGTTAATTTTTAGATATTCTAATGAGGTTACATTATTATGTTCTATATCATCAATACTTTGAAAAAAAGCTAAAATTTATTTTTATTTTAAAGTTTATTATAATCCTTCTCATCAAAGGTCTCATTGAAATCATTGTTAACACATATATGAATCGTTGTTTTCAAATTGTCTCATTATTTAATTTTTTATTTATTTTTAATTTATTAATTTATTTTTTGCTTATTTTATTGTTTTCTAAATTTCTGAAATTATGAAACAATACAATTCTTTTAAGATGACAGTTAAGTATCATCTATAATTGGTAGGTTATTTTAATTGCACATCTTTGATAAATTATTTTAATTTACCTGAACAGAGCGTATATTTTTTATTAAAAAACTGCATATTTTGAAATTATTGAAATACAATCAAGTGATCAAAGCATAAACATTTTTCTTTATGCATTGCATCTCTGTTTTCTACTTTTTATTAAAGTTATCTAATTAATTCCATTATTTTATTTGTGGTAAAATATGGAAAGCATGTACCAGGTTCAAAAGAGAATGACAGCAATTCAGCTCTATAATTTAATGGAAATGTACAAAACAAATTGTGCAATATGTACTGAAATCGCATACAATTGAAGAACTTTTCTTTTTGACGGCATATTTTCTTTTTCTTTCTCAAATTCTTAATTATTTGTTTGTTTTTAATGATACATCTTGTTTTTTTTTATTTATGTATATTAGAGCTTCAACAAGGACTGAGAAAAATGTTGGTGCAATGTAAGTAGTTTTTATGGTTTTATAATTTTGCTTTAACCGTGATAATACATGATAATAAATTTGATTGATTCAATAATACTGTCTGATAATAAAGTATTTTTGATTATTAAAAATTCATGTTGTGGGGTATTTTAGACTGTCAACCATTTTTTTCCAATCGTTTTAAAAATGTTAATAAAACTCCAGCTAGACATAAAACCATGTGGGAACACAAGCACTTAAAATATTGCACACGTAGTTTATGGACAGTCAGTACATTTCACAGGTCAATAACGACATTACTATTGGATGAAATAAATGTTTTTCTTTCTTATTTAGGTTTGCAAAATGTTTTTTTCACAATCTAACCACATTCTTCTGTGTTTTAGATTTTACATTGTTTCTTGTTTCATCTACAATCAGTGGTACAGGTATGTTAAAGCATTCATTAATTTCCTTAAAGTAATGTTTTGTGTATATAATTTCCTTAGGATTCGTGAAAGTCCGGCATTGCTCGCCCCTTTCCGTAAATTATATTCATTTGAAAGGGACTAGATGATAAGATCGACATTCACGTTCCTTTAAAACACGTAAACACATGAACAAACCTGACTATTAAAAAAAAATACGAAAATAAGTTCTGTACTTGATAAGATCTTAAGGTTGTTGACAAAAGAGTAAAGTTAATAATCAAACGTATTGTGTCATGATTTTAAAGCATTACACTTTTGATTTATCGTAAAACTAGCTTTTCATACTTTTCTGCATCATTGTTTAGTATTAAGAATTATATTGTGTCCACATCTGCATCGACTTGTGATTTAATACCCGTTATACTACCGTTTTATACTCACACCGAGTAGATATAATTCTGTAAAATAATATCGCGCAACTGAGCCACACCATGCAGATTTTATTTTATTAATGATAACCAACAAACACATGCCTTAATTTAATGCGTACTTTGATATTAATCTCTCAGTGAACGAGTAGGATAATAAAACAACCTGTAAGTTAATAAATATTCAAAAAGTATTATTTAAACATCTTTGCAATTTCTAAAATCACACTGAGAATCATCAAAATAATCATTATCATAATGTATGATTATTAACAATATTTCAGCATCTATCTCATGCTTCACGTGTTCTGATGCACTTAGTTTGGGAGAATGTATGTCCATTGAAACATGCTCCGCAGGAGAGGTATAATAGCACTTCCAATAATTGAATGAATGAATAAGAAAAAGTCACTTCAATTTTAGTCAATATTTAGAGAATTTCATCAGTTTAAGAATTTTAAGATGTTTAAGTTTTATTGTAAAATTTTGAAAATTTTCTTGTGTGAGCAAATGTTTAATCACTGTTAAATCATTTTTGAATTTTGGGAAATTTCGAATATTGCGCCTTCCACATCTGCCCCATCTATGTAACAGACGTTTATATGAAATAATAGACGATTTGAAACGCCATAAATGAGCGACATATGAGCGACATACATTTTTTTCATAAGCATATTTACTAACTTAGTCGTTGTCCTACTTTCTTGCTATTTCTAGTTAGACGCGACTTTTAAAAAATAATTTAATAAACGGGAGAGAGGTAGAGTTTATGCGTAATAGACAAGTCAGAAATATAGACTTCTTTGGGGGCAAATACTAAAATGCATTCAACACTTTGACTGTTTCTAAATAATTATGTTTATTCTTCGCAAAATTGTGGAAATCTTGTCGTATGTCGCGGTTAAAAAAAATTGTGGACGGTTAGGTAGACAGATAGGCAGGTATGTCCCAAGGTACAGATACATGTGATTTTTCCATTTTCTTTTTATTGTTTTCAATTTTTCGTGCAGGTTTGTTACAAAAAACGAAAATATACCAGTCAAGTGCAGTTTAGTCTAGGATGTATTGACAAGAAGGTAATCTTTAATTTGTATCGATATATTCCGCTTGTCGACAATTTATAATTTTTTACCTTTAATTTTGAAAATATCATGTTTAAAGTGAGGTCGAAACCGTTTGAATGACGATAATTCCTCAGGTCAACTTGCATTTTAAACAAATATTGTTTAAGTTGTAAACGATTACATCAAATATTGGATATGAAATAAAAGAAAACAAAAGATTGCACATATATCAAGCTTAAGACCCGATAAGTGGTTGAAGTGGGGGAAATTTGCCGCAAAAGATGGATCACTTTGTTTCCAGATTTTAAAAGAATGATATTGTTATAAATTTTTAGAAGTGTGGCGGATTTGCTGAAATTCAAAATAGTTCGGAAGTTACAGTACAGAAAATGAGTGCCGACAAAACTAGCTATTGTTATGAATGCTGTTCGACAAGCAAATGCAACAAAGATATTTGTACATACCCTCCAAGTAAGGATTTACTTTTGCGTCGCAGTAAAACATGCAATAATGATGAAGGTTTTATGCGACTTTCAGCTTTCTGGTGGCGGAATACCTCAGGTTTCCCTCCATGCATTATTTGAGGCACGAGCGGTTGCAAACGTAGAACAACCGTTGAGCTAGCTGGATAATCTACTTTTAATTATGGCGGGATTTGTACAAACATACGTAAAGGGCAAATGGGGGAAGTAAAACTGTTTTCTGCAAAACGACGAGTGTTTGTCACCATATATCCTGTATCTTGTTATTAAGGTTGTAACCACACTTAAAGGAAATTATATATATATGAATATAATTATGTATATAAAACAGTTTTCAAACATCCAAGAATATGTAAAATATGTACTGCAAATATTTGTGCACATTATATGTAAATCAGTGAAATATATGCATTCATTTCTAATTGAAAGATTTGACTGAGACAAATAAAATTGATTGGAATATTTATATGCATTTGTGCATGTATATCCTCTAGCAGACACAAATAAAGAATACAGTCACTTTATTACAAAACTGTAAAATCTATCATCTAGGTATTCTAATTAGGCTCAATAAAGTGCATAATTATTGATCATACAGTGACAAGACAGTCGTTTACTTTCCCTTCATTTAATTATTGATAGAAATGCATGACAACTGTATATCAGCCATTTGGTTTTATTTGTAATTGCCTTTCGCCCCTTTTTCGATTAGCAATTACTTCCGCTCGCTTGAACACACCGTACAATTAAATGGACAGACAACTGTTAAACCGTCGACAGCCGTACTACGTGTAGTATATACATGTATGTGTCGGTGTAAAAAAAACACAATTGATGGAAAGGAAATACTCATTAAATTTTAACATATCACAACTGTGTTCGAGTTAATCAAATAATTTATTATCAACAGACAAAGGAGCTTGCTAACAAATTTCTGGCAATGTACAAGATTTCAAACCCGTACGTGCATTTTGACAAAAATAACCGCTTTCCGATGAGAAGCCACATTTTTTCTTGAAAGTCACAAAAAAATCGTGTTTTTTACACTGAAATAGCTGTATATCAGGAGGTGGAACCCCATATGGATACCAACAGTGAGCATCGGCAAAAGCATATGTAAATTTCCGCTGCTCCAGATGTAAAGCATAACACCAGATGTGACAGTGAAAAACACGTCAATCTCAACTTTTAAACAGTTATATAAAAGTGAAACCTGTTTTAAGGAAAATTTAAATGTGATTCTATCCGCCTCACTCTCCTCTTTATTACTTGTTTGTATTGGAACTCTATGTAGTCTTTATCTATATATTCTTTCCGTCGTGGGTTCTGGTGTGACCATAACATATGCAATGCGTATGAAGAAAATGTCACTAAACGGACACAAAATACAAAAAAATTACTAAATCTCACCACAGACCGGTACTTGACTTTCGAACAAATCCAGATTTAAACATTTATGGAGCTTAAATGTGATTTAAGCAGCGATTTCTTTGTTTGTAAATGTTTAAATTAGAATTTGTTCGAAAGTTAAGCATCAGTATGTGGTGAAATTTCGTAAAAAAATGTATTTTGAGTCCGTTTAAATTAAGTGATATTTTCTTCAAACGCATTGCATGTTTTGGTCACACCAGAACCCACGACGGAAAGAATATCTCGACAAAGACTGCATAGAATTCCAATACAAAAAAATGGGTAATATAGAGGAAAGTCAAGAGGGTGGAATCACATTTAGATTTTCTTGAGAAAAAAAAAAACAAAGGTTTGAATTTTATATAACTGTTTCAATAATTGAAAACTTTCACTGCGATTGACCTAATTTCACTGTCCCATCTGGTGTTATGGATCCTCCCCCGTGTATTTAATAGTACATCTGTCGACGATTGATCGGTTGTCTGCCCATTTGATTGTACGGTGTGTTGTATAACTCTTAAAATGAAACAATTGCCGTTTGTACATTGTGTTTGTTTTCTACAGACTCTGAATGCAGGGATAGCAAACATGTTGATTGTGCTCAAATGAACTCAATGTTCAGTATATGTAAAGTGAAAAATGAAGCCAAGAAAATTTGTCCACGGTTTTGCGACCTGTGTAATTTAGGTATGTATGCTACTTGTATGTCCGTTATATTTATCAAATAATGTTTTTGCAGCAGTACCATAAATAACATAATCGTCATTGGCCAATGAAAATTAACTCACAGTTGGTTTTTGTTGATTAACATATGTAAAATTTTGTAAGAAGCTTGTAAAAATGCGCAAAACATATTACAATATTACTTTTAGAGAAATATAAAATATCTTATTTATCCTGCAGTTGATGGTGGTTGGTCGTCATGGTCACAGTGGTCATCGTGTGACGTCACGTGTGGGAATGGTTCACTGTTGCGGCAGCGTACATGTAATAATCCGACACCACAAAATGGTGGCATTGACTGCCCAGGAAACAAAATTGAAAAGAAATCTTGCAGTCTTCAATTTTGTCCTGGTAAATTCATTGGAATGAAAATATTTTTTTTTATACTTAAGAACATACTCAACGATTTTTATAAATTTTAAAATGATTAAGATGATTAAAATGATAACATTCATTACCCATGCAACTGATGTTTATTTAATAGACTAAAACATCAATTCCTTCGAATATATTTTGACATTGTTTAGATAATTTATGTTCCAACACACATCGTGTGTTTCCCCATGCATGTATCACAAGTGCAAGTGCGTGTAATTGAGTCAAAAATAAAAGATTAGTTTCAAGTAAGCTGGAACGTAAATCCGTAAAACATTTATCTATAAATAATTCATTATTGCATTGGCATTAGGTAGTTCTCCTATATCATTTATGATATGATAAGTACTTTATATATAAAAAAGCTTATTTCTTATTATGTTTTACAGCGACATAAGCAAAGCCTGTTTTTTATTTGAAATAAGATAAACTATGCATGCATTTTTTAAGTGCATGGAGGCTGGAGTTCTTGGGGTGAATGGGAAACATGTTCCGCGACATGTGATACTGGAATGCGCCGTCGGATACGATCATGCACGAACCCACGTCCAGAGCGTTTCGGAAACCATTGCTTTGGCAACAACGATGAAGCCGAGTTGTGTAACAATGGTCCTTGTACAAGTAAAGTCTGTTTGATAATATCTAGTCATTCCAACAATCAAATTTAAATAATATCGTTAAAGAAATGTATTATAAAGTGTGTATAAAGAAATGATATTGTGTATGTTTGATCACAAATTTTGATTAACATTCTTTTTAATTTCTTGAGAATAAAAAGCTATAGAAACAGTGATTAATAAGTCAAACACCTCACAGGTTTTGACGGTAAGTCTTTAATAATACATATCGTTTGTTTTGTTGTTTTTTCCAGAAAAGGTTGCTTTTGATGCATACACAACAAATAGCAATGGTCACTACCCAGATGGCAAAGTTCTCGTTTTTCCACATATCAACATTAACGACGGACAAGGGTATAATCCAGCAACCGGCATCTTCCAGGCTCCTGTTGCCGGGGTTTACCAATTCACAGCCCATGTTTGCCAAAAAGGAAGCAGGCATATGATCATTGGTATCATCAAGGGCACGAAGCAAATTGCGGTCACCACGGGGTTTGAAAGTGTTACTTCATCTTGCAGTTCCATTAGTGCTATTGCTCGGGTTGCCGTTAATGAAAATGTTTATGTGAAGGCACGTTATAGTGATAGCTATTTGCAGTCGGGTATATACAGATGGCCTTCGTTCAGCGGAATTCTTATGTACAATTAGGTTAATTTAAGAAATACTGAACTAAAATCAGTATAGGCTTTTTAATCCATATTTTTTAATTTCCTGTAAGATGTCAAACTTTGTTAAATAATGTCTTAATAATGAATACTGTGTTTTAAAACTAAAGAAAATAGCGCTAAATTTCAGTAATGTTTTGTAAAGGCTTCAAAATCTATTTAAAGTAGTATTTTTACTTCCATACAAAATACTAATTCACTTTTATACCGGTATATACCAATTGCCAAAAGAGGTGAAGAAACAAAATATTGTTTATGTATATACATTACTGTAAAACATTAGTCTTCTCTTATTGCATCTCACGTTGACATATATACATACATGTATATGTATATATGTCAACGTGAGATGCAATAAAAGAAGACTAATGTTATATATATATATATATATTTAGTTTAGTTTATTCAAGGTGATGCACTATGTGCAATCTATTAAAGATAATTATATAAAATTTAAGATGATTTATTCGTATACTGTATACAGTGGAATGAACCGGTCTACCCGTGGGTTTTATGATTTATCGTAATTTGAATTACATTATTTTGAATTCGTCTCGAGAGGGTATGAACGCTTTGGTTGATGTTGTTGTTATGGTTTTATTATCATAATAGCTAATATTTACGTACGGTTAGAGAAAGTCAATATAGCATTAAATCGTTTAATATCTATGTTAGTGGCTATTACTTGTTACTTCTCAATTAAATTTCATAGCCGTTTTAACCTGCGTTTGCAAATTATAGTTGTTGAATTAAGGAAGTTAGAGAGTAACTATTAACAATATTATTTCTATATAAAACTCCAACGGCTATTTAATGATTGTAAAACTTAGTGAGTTTATGCTATAAACTCGTGTGTACACAAAAAAAGAATTATTTTTTTAGATATATACATCAATTTTGTAACTTGCAACTTATCAACTTATTTAATATTATCTATCAACATGTCTGTTTCGTTTTATCATTTGAGACCCTATAACTTTGTTTGTGTGTATGTGTTTATAGATCATCTAATACATTTTATTTATCAGCAATGGACTTTTGTAGTTTCACATTGACTTCATATATTATATTTCATGTAAATTAACAGTTTATTTTCCGTATACGGATTGATATCCACAAAATTTAATCGCCATCGTTATTTTTTTCTGGTTCCTCTTCATGTTATATCATAATAATGTATTTCCAGATTATTCAATGCCTATTGTTTGGAAATATTGACAAAAGGCTTTTTATTTTCAGGATGTTTTTCGTTATTTTTGTAATTTATTATGATTTACGCTTAAAATTTTAATAACAGTACAGAAATGGATACTTTAATCAAATAATTAAATACGGCTTGTTATACATCAAACACGTAAGGATATATGACAGTGTTACAGGTGCTTAAAGTACTCTAAATAAAATCCTAAAACAGTATTTAAACTTGTATTTGATTTTTCCCTAAAACAGTTTATCCTATCATTAAAAGCATCTTTATCTATCACTCTATAACTGTGCATTTAACACACTTCAATGTTATCATCAAAATTGTATATTCAATTGGAAAATACATTTAAGTAATTGCAAATATAAATTATCCAGGTAATTAAATAGGTTCGTGTTTAATATACATGTTTCTACAATATTGGAAAATAATTGCACAATATATTTTGTTTAATATATATTTTCCTGTGAATGGCCGCCGACAGTACAGCTTATAGTCAACCCATTTAAAACCTTATCTACAAACTCATAAAAATATACATATATAAAAACCCAAACACATAAAATCGCACCACTTCACCTTGCTTCAAAAACTATCGAACCGTTATGCATTCGACCCCCTGATTTCAGTCAATGTTAAATTATTTAAATTCATACTGCCAAACAACAGTTAACACAAATAAAACTAAAAAAATAATATTTGAACAAGGCAGACAACTCAACCTTAAACTTCACTTTAAACAGTCAAACGTTAGAAGTCGTTTAAAGCTTTATAAATATTTAGGCGTTTATTTCTTTAAAGATAGACATTGGAATCGGACATAAAAGCATCTTGCCACACATTCATTATTTTCTATGCATAACCTTTTGTCAGTATTAAGACAACTAGATTTATATATTCAAGATAAGTGTAAACTGTTTGATACATTAGTAGGATCCGTCTAAGATTATAGCGTAGAATTGTTTGGATATTATGATTGTAAAAATATAGAATTTGTAAATTGTAAATTTCTTAATGATCTTTGTGTCCGTAAATCAACAACTCTAGATGCATTATATGGAGAAATAGGGAGATATCTAATGGCAATACACCGTCAAACCATAATATTAAAATAATCAATTCACCTGATTTCTCAATTCTTAAAAAAATGTATAGCATGCTTACTGAAGATGCAGATAATGAGTTCATACTGGGAACTGGGCTTATCAAATAAAAAAATACACTTGACCTGAAAAATATTTAAGCGTAATAAATAAAGATAGCCACTTGATTGTTTTAACCAAATTGAGATATCAGCTAACAATCTGGAAATAGGCACGTTAATATTCCAAGAGAAAATAGAAAATGTCTACATTTTTCATTAAATTTGATAGAAACAGTATATCAGTTCTTGTTATTATGCCCAAAATATTACAATTTACGTAGAAAGTTTTTTAACCATAGTTTTGAAAATGGCCTATAATGCAGAAATGCGAAACATTAATGACAAGCACAAATATCAAAACAATTAGAAGTCTTGCAAGTATCTGTATACTACATTTAAAGAAGGGACATAACGTTAGATTTGAGCCTTAGTTAAAACATTTAAAAGGGAGATAACTACGACAACAAATGCTTAGTACATACAACGGTTATGTCATCTTAGTAATATTAATAATTGCCGTTTAATTGGTGCATAATGATATAATGCAACGTAAACAAATTTCGTTCTCCACTGTTTCTTGCATTTTTAAGTATTTTATGCACACTCTGTTAGATATGTCGTAACCTTTGTTTATACTTGTCAACAATACTTGGTGGCTAACTTGCTGTAACTTATAACACTTTACACCGCACAGTATCTGAATTGTATATCTATAAAGTGTATGTTTACAATTTTTATGTTGAATTTTTATGTTGAATGAATTATATGTTTTGTTTTGTAAGTTGTGTTATATTGTGCTATTTGATGTTATGTTATGTTATGGTATATGTTATGTTATGTTATATATGTGAATAAAAGAAGTAGTTTGGCTGCAAGTTATAACAACATTAACAACAGCCCACACCACAAAGCCAATGTTTTATATATCATATTTATTCGAGTACATTTCGTGCAATTAATTATTTAAAGTGAACAAAATTAACTGAATGTATAAAGATAAAATAGAACAATTTAAAACAGCTATATGAGAGAGAAATGTAATCGAAAGAGCATCGAAACGCGAGACAATCTGATTGTACGAGAATGGGGGCGTTTTGATGTTCTTTCTCTTTTGTATTATAGGCAAAAAATAAAAAATGCGTTCCCTATCGTTTACATTAATAAAACCCAAGAAGAAAAAGTTACCAACATGAACGAGCATTTGATTATAACCTTTCTGACGTTATATTTTCCCCTGTGGTCGCGCAATAAATAAACCCAGAAAAAATGAGCCAATCAACGAGCATGTTCTAGACAGACAGTGAGTGCGGATATAAAAACTGTACTAATAATCTTACTCATACTTCTTATAACTTTAATACAAAATGTACGCCAGTGATATCCTGTTCGCAAAATGAAATAGAAGAATGAAAGTTACAACGTCTGCGAACAAAAGATTCATCAACGTGTAAATAGCGCAATCTTTAAAATAAAATTGTTGTTGTTTTTGCTGTTGTTGGTGTTGCTTCTGCTGCTGCTGTTAATGCAATCTTATTATTATTTTTTATGATTATTATGATTTTTATTATTATAATTATGATTATTATTCTTATTATTATAGTTATTATTATTATTGTTATACTATAATTATTATTATTATTATTAATATTATTATTATTATTAATATTATTATTATTATTATTATTTTGTTATACTATTATAATAATAATACTACTAATGATAATAATATTAAAAGTTATTATTATTATTATTATTATTTTTATTATTATTATTATTTAATTATTATTATTATTTTTATAATAAATCTAACATGCTCTAAAACCATCTTTGACGTTATAAAACTCATGTTTGCTTTTTATAAAAAAGGAAAAAAAAAATTCATTTCTGAGGTACAATGTGCCGTTAATGTAGTTAGGTGAACATCTGTGTTAATGGCTTTTTTCAAGTATTTAAACAAAAACCAAAGCAAAAAAAAATCTTTAAATTAAAAGTGCATGTGATTCAGTGAAGCAATATTATTTGATAATTATTTTAACGAAACTCCACTGAGAGCCAGAAATTTAAATTTATTTCATATATCAAATTGGGCATTTAAAGCAAAAGGATATGCATTTTTTAAATATACACAGAAATGAATTGATATCGTTTTCTTGTGTTATTCCTAGCCTGATTTGAGTGAAAAGCATTGGTAACACGCTTTTTTGGATCATATTGTACAAAAAAACTAATACCGTTCTAAAAAGTGGGTTAGAGAATTATGTAAAATTTTTTAAAATTGAAAGTAATTTGTTCTATATCAAATGAAATTTTAAACTCGATAATTTTTATTCAATCCCATTATGTCAAAAATATCAGCGGAGTACCTTCAAAACGAAACGTTATTTAAAAATACATGCAACAGCTTTTATCTAAATTTTGACATTTTTCACCATTCTCTCATTTTGATTTGTCCACTTCAGACACATTTTCTTATTACGGAATGAACAGTTGGAACAATATACCTTTAAATATTCGTAATGTTAGTAACCTTAAATGTTTTAAAGAAAAAAAAAAAAAAATCATATCTTGATGTTCATATGAATGAGTGAGTGAGTGAATGAATGAATGAATGAATAAATGAGCAAACGAATGAAGGAACGAACGAATGATGCAATATAGACCTTTTTACAATACGATTTTTCCATAGCAACCGAGGTTGTATTTGGCGCATGTGCATTCTGCGTAGGGCAAAAGCGCAATAACGATAGACTACATTTGAGCCGTGTCATGACAAAACCAACATAATGGGTTTGCGACCAGTGTGGATCCAGACCAGCCTGCGCATCCGCACAGTCTGATCAGGATCCATGCTGTTCGCTTACAGACCCTATAACAAGTATAGAAACTGATAGCGAACAGCATGGATCCTGATCAGACTGCGCAGATGCGCAGGCTGGTCTGGATCTATGCTGGTCGCAAACCCATTATGTTGGTTTTGTCGTGACGCGGCTCATTTAGCGTTCTTGAAGGCTATAAAGACGTGATTATAAGTTATGTCACCCAGAATTTTTGTGATGAATTAAAGCGGTAAGTACTTCAAACGTAATAAATATTTATTACAGATATACAAAGTTAGCGGGGGATTAATAATTCAATGACCAAAATCCTGTTCAATGTATCATAAATGACTTCTTCATCAGTAATTTAAATTGAAACAGCAGGGTGACGCTTAAAATTTTTATTGCCAGCTAAGTTTTCAGTATCATTCAACCGGGACGTTTTTATAGTCCATATGAATAGTTCTGAAAAAAAATAAAAATTAAATCTTATTAAGTTACTTTTTAAGTTTTAACCGATCAATGATTTATTAATTTGTGAAGTGACAATCAAATAGAGTTCGTGGCGTGCATTTATGTTTTGTCGAAGAAACCCGGATAAAATGTGTGTTATTTTCATAACCATCTTAACCTATTAAGAGTTTGAAATATTATTTAAATATAGCTATGTGTGTTAAAAAGTTTCTGCTTGACATCACAAATATATTTCGACAACTTTCTACAATTAATCTCATTGTCATGTCTGTGATCGTAAGGGAGATTTCTTAAACAATCGTCATTTCCGGGCCATTTTGTGTCAATATTTGCCACAAAGCTATACATGTATTCTTTCATGTTTGTTTAAAAAAGCTATTTTATATGATTTCTTAATTTTTACCTTAACTAACTCGGAATTATCTATGAACTTCTACTAACATATCTATGTAGGTGCAACGTTTTTTTTTCACTGCGCAGATTGCGCATTGCACGCGAAAATACTACTCCGGTCAATTTTTTTATAGGCAACGGACCGGGGGCGTCGTAAAGATGTCTTTACGTTACAGTATATGTTTGAACAATTGGTTGAATCTCTTCGAAGTATATGAGTGTCTTATTCTAAAAAATACATAGTATAACATTCATTTCTTCTACCTATGCAATGTCATTTGTTGTTGTTGTTTTCTATTTCAGAAGGGCAACATTGGGGAAAAAAAGATGATATTAG